AGATGCCAGGTTTTTACAAAGAATCTGCTGAAGTCCAAGGAGCCATTTATGAGAAAAATATACATAAAGAATTGTGCGGGAATCCCCCGGCAGTCCAGTGGTTAGGACTCTGGGCTTGCACTGCAGTGGGCACAGGTTCGATCCCTAGTCGAGGAATTAAGATCCCATATGCCACGTGGCACAACCAAAAAAAAAAAAAAAATTCTATGCCATTTAACTGACATTAGAATTTAAATAAACCCACACTGATTAAATTTAATAAATTTTCCAAAAAAAAAAAAAAAAAGGAATTTTGCATATAGTCTCAGACTCTTCATGGCCCTGATTCAGAATTTCTAGTAGAGTGGTTTACCCTTCAAAGTGCTATACACAGTTCCATTAGTTGAAGCCTTAGTAGGTTTTTAAATTTAATTATATGACAAATTTCTTTTCACTGGTATTATTATAGTGAGATATATTTCTCTGTCTTCCTTATGGATATTTAGCCTTTAAAATATTTTTCTGTTCCTAAAACAACATCCCAGGAGTGAAGCTACTGGTTTGTATACGCTTTTTTTTTTTTTCCTATTTAGTGTCTAATGTTTATTAAACACTTGCTATCTTTGGCATAACTGAAGATTTAAGTACCTGCTCAATAGTTGAAAATATTGTCAGATCTATCACATAATTCTCATTCATTCAGTACTTACACTAACTTTATGATGTGAGTAGTAGTATTCTCATCTTACAAATGAGGAGACTGGAGGCTGACAGGTTAAGCAACCTAAAGTAGTGCTAATAGCTAATAGGTCATGATTGGAACCCAGGTTTGCCTCCTTCCACTGTCCATGGTCTTTTCAGAAACTCATTTAAAAAACACAGATATCTGCCTTGATCATTGGAAAGTTTACCTTTAATACTGAAAAGCCAAACAAAGCAAAAATATACACACAACAGGGCTTCCCTGGTGGCGCAGTGGTTGAGAGTCCGCCTGCCGATGCAGGGGACACGGGTTCGTGCCCCGGTCTGGGAAGATCCCACATGCCGCGGAGCGGCTGGGCCCGTGAGCCATGGCCGCTGAGCCTGCGCGTCCGGAGTCTGTGCTCCGCAACGGGAGAGGCCACAGCAGTGAGAGGCCCGCATACAGCAAAAAAAAAAAAAAAAAATATACACACACAAACATAAGCTTAAAGGAAATTCAGATGAAAGAGAACATATACCTAACATCCAGCTACTCCAGCAAATCAAGCTAGGCCTGCCTTCACCACATCTCTTCACAGCTCAGTATTAAATCAATACCCTGGCAGGATGAGGGGAGAAAAACTGCTGTGAAAGGAGGAACAGAAAAGTGGGAGGAGGTAGCTAACAGCAGGATAAGCATATCTTTTAGAGTGCGGGACTCAAACCTGACTGGTTCTTGGCTTTGGCTCAGAAGTCTCTTAAATATCTGTTGGTTGTAGATTAATCAGGCAGTAAAACCCCACTGGAAAAGATAGTGGGTCCTATGTGACTTTTAAAATTTGACCATAGAGAGACCTGTAACCTATAACATTCATCCGTACCACCATGTTTGTGTTGAACACTAGGGGTTGTGGGAAAGAGCTTAAGAATGCTTGGAATGAATGAATCTGAACTCCTAGCAAAGGGACTGAATAATAATACTGGAGGAAAAAACTGAAGAAAAGGAGAAAGGAAATGGCTGCCCTATGGAGCCTTTAGCAGCAGCTCCTGAAAGAGAAAAAGGGGGAAGAGGGAAGCTAAATTATTTTGCAGGCCAAGTTGTGTGTTAAGGGACCTGAACTAGTCTTACTGCAAGAAGAAGGTAGACTTCAGTGATTTCTTTGAAGTACTCGCACTTTTTGCCTTCTGTTAAGAGTCACAGAGAAGTTTACTGGTATAACAAATTATGTATTGTTGTGCATTCTTTTAAAGCTACATTTATATAATTATTACTAGTAATTGGACCTCGGGTTAGAAAATCACCGTTTAGTAACTTAAGGATTCACAAGTGTAGAAATCCCATTCTTCAGATGATCAGGGAAAATCATTAGGTTTGAGATTTTTATTTTGTAGCCACATCTAAACTTTGCACTCTAAAGGCAGATTTTAAAAGGCAGAGTATAATGCAAGTATGACTTTCTAAGGATGACCTAAGTTATATGTTACCAAGGTTCTTATGAGCAGGAATCTAGCAGAGGATAAATTCAGCACTTAAAGTCACAACTTAGTAATATGATGCTGGTCTTGATGTGTGCTGTTGCTCCAAGCAAGTTGTGTGGGCTCTTATCTCCTGTGACATCCCTATAAATGATATATTAGTAATACTTTATTAGTAAGTTGGGAGAATTAATTTATTTTTCTAAGGCATTTAAAAATTGTTTGAAGAAAGGCTCTGTATGGAGCAAATTGGTGTCAGTCTGTTTTCCATCCTCTGAGCCAGGAGAAAATAGGCACCTTAGGGTGGGAAGGTTGGCTTATCTTTCAGAGTTCTTTTATAAATCACTTTTACTGAATTTGAAATGGATATCAGAAGCTCCCAAGGATATGGTTAACTATAAAAGCAAACTTTTTTGGACTTGGAACTTGGAACTATGTGTTTTCATCAAAGATTTAAGATGGATAAGTATTAGTTTGTAATTGGCCAGACTTGGGGGTAAAATATGGCCCTTTGATGATCCTGGTCCCCAGCTTTGTTTTTCTCTTGCTTTTTCTTCATTTCAGAGAAGAGATAAGGCTGACTTTCTGAAAAGCAGTCAACTTTACTTTTTTTAATTAATTAACTTATTTATTTTTGGCTGCGTTGGGTCTTTGTTGCTGCGCGCGGGCTTTCTCTAGTTGTGGTGAGTGGAGGCTACTCTTTGTTGCAGTGCACGGGCTTCTTGTTGCGGTGGCTTCTCTTGTGGAGCACAGGCTCTAGGAACGTGGGCTCAGTAGTTGTGGCTCACGGGCTCTAGAGCACAGGCTCAGTAGTTGTGGCGCATGGGCTTAGTTGCTTCGCGGCATGTGGGATCTTCCCGGACTAGGGCTCGAACCCGTGTCCCCTGCATTGGCAGGCAGATTCTTAACCACTGCACCACCAGGGAAGTCCCAACTTATTGTCAGTGTGTAAGATCTATTTCTTCCATTAATCTGTGTAATCTTTTGCTCCAAATAAGTTGGCAGTAGGTGCTGGAACAAAGGTTTTCATCTACACTTACACTTTCAAGTGTGCATACTCAAATGCCCCCATGTGAAGATAGCTTTGCTTGGAAGATTTATAACCAAATTCTTGCTTTAGGGAAGCTAACAGTATAATAGGGCAGGGTAATGTATATGCACAGGTAACAGTACTGCATGCTGTTTTTGAAAAATGCATGTTTCTTTCTGAATTTTACCCCTACTTAAAAAGAATAATGGTGAACGAAGAGTAATATAACTATTTTGAAGTAACTTAACATGAGGCTTGGCTGTTCATGTATTTGCAAGAAACTTTATGCTAATGTCAAAGAAAAATGAACCAGTGTAGGGCTTCCCTGGTGGCGCAGTGGTTGTGAGTCCGCCTGCAGATGCAGGGGACACGGGTTCGTGACCTGATTCGGGAAGATCCCACATGCCGCGGAGCGGCTGGTCCCGTGAGCCATGGCCGCTGAGCCTGCGTGTCCACAACGGGAGAGGCCACAACAGTGAGAGGCCCGCGTACCGCAAAAAAAAAAAAAAAAAAGAACCAGTGTAGATGCATAGGAAGGAAGGTAGGACCAATATACTTCCTGGTGCCTTGAAACCAGAGCTTCGGATGCAATGTGGTGGTCTCTCTCCCTCTCCTTCCCTCTCTCCTTCCCCTCTTGTGACTGATGAGCTAAGCCCTTTCTCCAACTGTACGTGATTTTCTAGTGAACTGGGGGGTGTATTTTTCCAACATACATTAGTCACCCGACTTACAGCATTCACGTTCATATCCTTATAACAGATTGTGTCTAAAATCTTCACAGATTTCTCACCTTTTAGGGTTCAGATTTACTATCCACTCGGAGTCTGTGACCCTTACTTTTGGCAAGCTTCCAAACAGCTCTTTGGTGGAGACCCTGTCCACTTTATTCTTGTACCCTTGGGTGGCGCAGCACCAGAGATCGCTTGCCTAACGCTGGGGGACGGGGGTGGGGTGGGGTGGGGTGGCAGTGGGGTGGGTAGCGCACTTTCGCGCATGCGCCAGTCCGGACCCTGGTTTACCCGGTGACCCCGCCCCCCCCCCCCCCTGGGGGTCCGGTGCCGCCGCCCCCCCCCCCTACTGGGGTAGGTTAGAGAGGATTTGGCTTTTGAAGGTTTTGAGGGCCCGCGTAGGTAATTAACACAATTTACATTAGTATAATGAAGACAGAGTTCCAAGCAACCACCTTGCAAATGGACCCTGAGAGTTCAGCCTATCTGTAATGGAGATACCGCAGGCCACGATCTTTGGCTTTGTGAGCAGTTTATAATTTAGCCAGATTTAGTTTCCCCCCCTAAAAAGTCTTTTAATCACAGAGCGAAAAAGCGCTGCCACAACATGTGACAGTACATGTTTTAAAGCACGGGACGTTTGGTCCCCCATAATTTTGTCACAAGATTGTCCAAGCGTTTCTTTGAAAGCTAGATGACCCTGCCAGTAAACGCCAAAATAGTAGCTGTCGCTTGAACCGAGCGGTGTTACTCTAGGGTGGGGGTGGGACCCATTCTCGCGCGCGTTCTGCGCCGGCCGGGGGCTTGTTTGCGAACACTGAGGGGTCTGGGCTACGCGAGGCGGGACCGCTGGGAGGCGGGGCGAGACCGGCGCGGGGCCGGCGGGCCTCCGCTAGTGCGCATGGTCAGGCGTCCTCCTCCGCCCCGGCTGACCCCTTGTTTCCGCCGTTGGCCGAAACACTGCGAAGGCCGTTACCTGAGCGCTACCGGTCGCCGACATGGCTGAGGAAAAAGATTGCCTGAGGGGAGACGTAGAGAAGGGCGAGGGGCCGGTGGTGACCATTACCGGTGGTGCGTACTCTGGGAAGCAGGCGGCGGAGGAGCCGATGAAGGTGGAAGCGGCGGCGGTGGCTGATGCCTGCTCTGACGACCTCAGCTGTGGGGAGGCCGACATCGACCCAAGCCTGCTGGAGCTGGTTGATGAGGAGAAATGCCGGAGTATCCGCAAGCAGTACCGGCAGCTCATCTATAACGTCCAGCAGAACCGTGATGACATAGTGAACACGGCGAGCGAGTCCTTAACCGAGGCTCTCGAAGAAGCCAATGTCCTGTTTGATGCAGTGAGTCGAACGAGAGAAGCGGCCCTCGACGCTCAGTTTCTTGTTTTGGCTTCTGATTTGGGTAAAGAAAAAGCAAAGCAGCTAAACTCTGACATGAGCCTTTTTAATCAGGTGGCATTTTGTGATTTTCTGCTTATATTTGTGGGTCTAAACTGGATGGAAGATGATGGACGTGATGCGCTGAGTGACTGTGATGATAATATAGTTCGCTCTTTTTGGGAGACAGTACAAAAGGAAGCAACGTCGTGGATGCTGCAAGCTGAAACATTCCACTTTATATTCGGTTCATTCAAATCAGAGCCTTCCGCGCGGAAGCCCCGACTTGAGCACCGGAAAAGAGTTTACAGAATGGAAGAAAACGGGGATATGCCTACAAAGCTGAGGAAGCTGGACCTGTGTAGTAATCAAGAAGCGACAGAAAAAGAAGTAGAAAGAATCTTGGGATTGTTGCAAACGTACTTTCAAAAGTATCCTGATACTCCCGTGTCCTATTTTGAGTTTGTGATTGACCCAAACTCTTTCTCTCGTACTGTGGAGAATATATTTTATGTTTCTTTCATTGTAAGGGATGGTTTTGCAAGAATAAGGCTTGACCAAGACAGGCTGCCAATATTGGAGCCCATTAATATTAACCATGTGGGTGAGGGGAATGATTCCAGTTCCCATTGCAGGAAACAAGGAGTTATATCTTTGAGTTTACAGGACTGGAAAAATATTGTGGCAACTTTTGAAATTTCAGAGGCCATGATCACAAACTCGTACTAAAGATTTTTGTTCTTAGTGTAGGAGACATTTTGTGGCTTTTCTTACTCATCTCAAAATGGAGAGTAAAATCCAAACAGAAACACATATTGTATCTCTTGTAAAGTGAAAAAGTATTTTCAAGAACATCAGAAATTGTTTCACTGTGCAGTGTATTTTTCTTGGTAGTTTATAAAGTTGTCATGATCTTCTGTTGCTAAAAAAAACTCACTGGCATGTTCATGGGAAAATTATTTTGAATGCTTCTTAAGACTTTAATAATAAAAGTCAGTTCTGAATTCCATAAATTAAAAGGTATTTGATAATTTTCCAGAAAAAAATTAGTTATGGTGCTCTGTGATACTTACTGCCTTGCTTCCTCTGCTCCAGGGAACCACAGGAATCCCAAATGGGGCTCTTGACCAGGTTGGGGAGAAGAGTGGGTGGAAACAATGGTCAAGGAAGACTGTCTGTAGGGCAGAGCCTAAGTGACCTTAATACTGTAAGGAAAAAAAATTCGGATGCCATGCGCTTCGTTGCAAAGAAGCCTCAGTGAGACTAATGAGTGGGTGTCCATGTTCGAGATAATTTCCCCTGTGATTGGACTCAGCAAAAGTAGAACACCTCTACTGTAGTAGGTGAGCCATCAACTAAATGCTGAAAGGCAAGTAGGAATTGGCCAAAGATAAGGAAGGTAGTCACGCAGGAAAATATGGAGGCCAAATACATGGAATTGTGAGAAGTTATGGCTCCAGAGAGACCTGTAAGATTTTTTTGGAAGACTGCACCATTTGAATGTTATACTGGGCAAAAATAGGCATACCTCATCTGTTAGTGAGCTCAGGAGTAGAAGGTAGCCTTTGCCAGATTATTTCAAACACGAAATCTTTTAACATCCAGTTACATAGTCTTCATGTACTTGCTTCATTTCTTCTCTGGCCCCTAGCTTCCCTTTGTAATTTCTGCTGATACAGAGTGTCCCTCAGAATCAGTGATGTTTCATCATGTTAACAGCTTTGAATATTTGTGCTCAACTCCATTTTGATTTCTTAAGTAGGGCTTTAAATGCCTGGAAACTTCCTGTTTCAACTGAAATATTTGATTAATTAATCCAAGTTTTCTTCACTTAGCATAAAGCCATAAAGGCTTTTTAGTGTTGCTTGTAATTGTTTTAAGAATATAAATTACCACCTTATTTGGACACTACTGAAAATTTGGGTCTTTAAGAAAACAAGTTTTGAAGGTGCAGTGAGCATGCCTGTGCTTTCCTTGATCCCTATAGAAACTAAATCTTTGGTAGCAGGGGGTCTTGCCATTAAATCTTATTTGGCAAGTGGATAAGTATCTGCTTTGCATAGCAGTAATGATAAACTTTCCCACTAAGTCTAAATGTAATAAGGGAAGGGAAATCCAAAGACTAAATGAATGACTTCGAGATCAAGAGAAGATTGAGATTGAGAGGTTCTTCAGTAATAGTGGAGGTTTTTAGCAAAAATAGAAATTTCTCATGAAACTGGGCCAATTGTTTTCTGAAGTAGTCAGTTTTTCCCCTTTTTTATATGAAGGGATGCTCGCCCTTCCCAGTGTCTACCACCCTTTGATCTAGCAATTGTGGAAGCATCATTTGGTCTCTGACCCTCCCTTTAGCATGCCTCTACCAACCGGGTTCCTTAGGTTTTCCAGAGCTTTGCTGTTTGGGGAAAAGATAATCTTAGTGATAGCAAAAAGATCTTGCCTCAGGTCTGCTCATCACCAGTTCTCTCTTTAAACGCCAAGTGCCTTTACAGGAGTATTTGAAACTTAGTGATGACTAAAAGCATTAACAGAGAATGTGGAGGTTTGGGAGGAAGGTAATCTTCTGGGTGTCCTCTAAAGTAATAGCTGTTAACATATAAATCAGGTTGACCACTTGTTTCTACTTTTAATTGGTTGTCATGACACATAGATTGCCTCATCACTTGGAAATTAAAGCGGTTGTTTATCTTGAAGAAAAAAGGAAAATTGACCAATAGATAATTATAGACATTAGATATGAACCAAGCTGCAAGTCTGCTGGTTTCCCACTAATACAGTTAGAGTGCCTTATATTTCGTAGGTTCAGTAAAATCAGCTGAACTTCAGGAGAATATTATGGAAATCTTTTAAACTAGGATTTTGTTGTTTGACAGAACCACTCTCTGATCAAAGGACCTGGGATCAGATACTCTGTAATGTTCTAGTTGGAGACTTTGGGCAAATTATTAAACCCGCAAACCTTTAGGTTTTTTATTTGCTAAGTGGGAGTAATTACCTGTTCTCTTAAATTTACAGTAAGGATAAAATGAGAAAATGTATGTGACAAGTACTTTGAATTAATGGGTGTGGTATAGTGAGAAAAGCAAGAGATTTGTAATCATTTAGACCTGGGTATAATTATTGACTCATGGGCAAGTTTCTTAATCTCTAAGGGTTTCTTTTTTAAAAAAATTTATTTATTTTCTTTATTTTTGGCTGCGTTGGGTCTTCGTTGCTTCGCGCAGGCTTTCTCTTGTGGTGAGCAGGGGCTACGCTTCGTTGCCATGGCTTCTCTTGTTGCAGAGCACGGGGCTCTAGGAGCACGGGTTTCGGTAGTTGTGGCTCATGGGCTCTAGAGCACAGGCTCAGTAGTTGTGGCGCACGGGCTTAGTTGCTCCGCGGCATGTGGGACCTTCCTGGACCAGGGCTCGAACCCATGTCCCCTGCATTGGCAGGCGGAGTCTTAACCACTGCGCCACCAGGGAAGCCCTCTAAGGGTTTCCTTGTTGTCATTTCCGAAATGGGAATGGCATGTGATTAAATGGGATGATATATACCAAACATCTAGCCCAAGGTTGGGCTCACTGTGGGCACTCATGTTAGTCCCTCACTCCGTAGTAGATCAGCGTCAGAAAGTCCATGCTGCTGCCTCCTTCCATGGTGACATCTCAGTCCCGGTTCGTACACTTTACTTTAAGTCTAGATGTCGTGACTTTCTCATATTCTTTGTTGTGGGGAAACCATTACCAAGTGATTAGAATTGGTACTTTGTTAATTCACTCAACAACTGTGCCAGGCACAGCTCTAGGCGGGGGGCGGGGTGGTGGTGGAAAGTGGTGAACTGAAAATTGCCTGTCTCTCATGGAGTTTATATTCTAATGGCTGTATTAGTTTCCTATTGCTGTTGTAACGAACTACCATTTAGTAGCTTAAAAACAACACAAATTAATTTTCTTACGGTTCTGGAAGTTGGAAGTCTGAAAATCGGTTTCTCAAGGTGTCAGCACAGCCGGTTCCTGTTGAGGCTCTGAGGAGAGAAATCTGTTTGCCTTTTTGGAGGCCACCTGTGTTCCTTGATACACTATTCCTCCATTTTCAAAGCTGCCAGTGCAGCCTCTTTGTCTTCACATTGCTTACTATAATGCAGTCTCCCTCTGCCTCCCTCTTATAAGGATACTTGTGAATAAGTTGGGCCCCGTGGGATAATCCTGGAAAATCTCCCCATCCCCAGATTCTTAAATCACATCTCCAGAAACTCTTGTATTCACAGGATCTGGGGTTTGGACTTCAGTGTTAGGGGACCATTGTTGAGCCTGCCAGAGTGGGAGACCACAGTAATTCTGTCAGTGATGACTGCTCTGGAGAAAAACTGCTTGGAGAGTGGCTGAGAGGCTGGGTCAGGGTGGCCCCTGGGAGGAGGCATTGAAATGGCATCTGTTTGTTGTAAGACATTTGCCAGAATACTTGATACAGAGTGAATGTTAAATATTACTGTGGCTGTAAACATTTTAGGCACATGATAGCTGGCAGGTCTAGATGGTTAACCAGAACCTCCCTGGTTCTCCTAGGAGGAAGGTAGTGTAGCAAGCATCTCTACTTCACTGACTGGGCACAAAGACAGTTCTCTGATTTGTACTCACCTCAGTATTACCGTTTGATAGTTTTCACCCAGCACCACCTGTCAGCATTGATTGAAATTTTCCCTAGGTCAGGATTGGCAATGTTCTTTCTGCAAAAAGCCAGGTAGTAAATATTTTAAGCTTTGTGAGCCATATGGCCTCTGTTGAAACTAGTCAACTGTGCTCTTGTTGCAAAAACAGAAGCTCTAGACAATATTGAAACAAGTGGGCGCGGCTGCTTTCCAATAAAATTTTATTTATGGATACTGAAATTTGGGTTTCTTATAATTTTCATGTATCATTAAGTATTGCTCGATCTTTTTTTTCCTTTATCATTTAACAATGTTAAGAAGAACCATTGTTAGCTCAGGGGCTGTGGGAAAAAAAAAAAAAAACTACAGGCCTGCTGGGTTTGCCCCTCAGGCTGTAGTTTGCCAGTTCCTGTTATAGGCCTGGGGCCCAGGTTCTTCAGAAAATCTGTAGCATTTAAACCATCATTTAGTTTTATTTCTTTCATGGCCCATAATCCTCCAAAGCAGAGGCTTGAGGTATATCGCCTAGTGGTGCTGCAGCGTGCTGGCAACGGCAGTCAGATTTCAAAGGAAACAAGCAGTCAGCAGTTTGTATCGTTTATATAGTCACTGCAGACAAGGAACCCAGGCAGGAGAATTTAAGCAGTTTGCCCAGGATCACATAAGTGACAAAGTTAGGTTGAGGTTTGGACTAAATCCAAGCTCCTAACCTATTATTATGCCACACCCCTGGTACTTTTTCAGTGTTTTCCCACAGTTTTATTTTCAGGGATGAGAAAGCTGAACTGAAGCCCAGCCTCTCACTATACATAACAGAGTAGGAACTAGCACCCAGGTGTTTCATTCTAAGAATATTTTTGAACATCACATGCATGTGGAGTTGGCACTGGTGGTGCAGGAATGAGACAAGATGCTTGTCCTTGTAGAGTTGATGGGATTGTGTGAAGATGCCAGCAGGGGCATCAGAGGAGGATCCAGCCTGCTGGGCACAGTCAAGTAAAGGCTTCCAGCTAAATCTTGAAGGACAGGAAGGCACGGAACAGTCTTCACTAAGTGCTCTGAGAACCTGTGTTAATACAGTTGCAAGAAACAGGAGAAT